CTGAGACGCGCTGCTGCCCCCCGCGCGGGCACCGCGGCTTCAATGGCGCCATCGCCCAGGACCAGCAGCCGGCAAGATGCGACCGCCCTGCCCAGCATGTCCTCAACTTTTTGGGCGTTCATGATCCTGGCCAGCCTGCTCATCGCTTACTGCAGTGAGTACCGTGCACCCGGGCCCCAAACGGGCCTCAGATCCCCGGCTCGGCCCCTGCCCCAGCCCCGGCGGGGCGGCCCGCGTCGGTGCAGAGTTGCGAGCGCGTGGCGCGCGGTCCCGGGTCCTGGCCGCTGCTCCGCTGGCCCGGGAGGGCTGGGTGCAGGCAGCTCCGGGTTCCAGGCACTCCGCCGCCGGGCACACCAGCCCGAGCGTGCTTCCGCGGACTCGCCAGCAGGGCCGGCGTCAGGCCCAAGCCGGCACGGCGCGTCCCTGCGCGGCGGTGCCCGCTGCCTGCTGCCCGCCGTGCGGTCGCCGCTCTGACCCAAGCTGGCGACCGAGCGGAACTGCGCGCGCTGAGCTTCCCGCCGGCGACACTCCCTCCGGGGACTTGTGGGGACGCGGCAGCCGAGCCCGAGCGGGACTCCTCCGGCGGGAGCGCGGCTTGGGTTCCGACGCGTGGCGGAGCTTCTGCCTTGCTGGGAAGCGGGCTCGCCAGACGCTTTCTGTAAAAGGAGAAGTAAGGGGACGGATGCCACTGGAGGGGAGGGCCCGCTACCGCTACGAGGGTGGTTTGGAGGAATGAATTGGCGACCCAGTGGGTCTGGCGAGGGCTGCAGAGGGAGGTGCGGGTTGGTCGGTGCCTGGTACTGGGCGCTGGAGCTGGGTTGGGCTGGGAGCCGGACGGTGAGTGGTGGTAGGTCGCATCTGGGAAACGATTATCTGAGTCCTGTACGTACAGATTTGGGGCTGGTGTAGGGTGGGAAGGCATTGTCCTGGCTGGTGCCTGGTGCCTGGTGCCTGGTGCCTGTTGGTAGCTGGTGGGGTGGGTGGAGGCTGGTTAGCGTCCCGGGCACAGGCTCCAGCAGGGATGGGAGCTTGCCTGGTTACTGATTCTTGCCTTCCCGTCGTCTCTGCGGACAGGAAGAACTAGTGCCAGGGAACACCTGTCATGGAAAATTGCCACAGGCAAGGAGGGGTGGTGATGAAAAAAATATGGATTCTTTACAAAATTAAAATAAAATAAAAGGCCACCATCAAGCGATTCCTCCCACTCCCCCCCCCCCCCCAGCCATCACTAGAGCCTGGGGCCTCCTCTCGCCCAATTCCAGCTCCTCCTGTCTCTGTAATGAGATTGCAGCAGCCTCGGAGACTCAAGTTATGATCAAATTTGTCGTCAGAGTCCTGGGACAACTCTGCTTTGAGGATAGCTTAACCCCCAGCATGGAGGCGTCTTGGGGGAAAGTCAAGTAGACCCAGAGCGGTAATTGCCCCAGTTGTTTCAACCAGTCTGCGTCCCCCTGTGTTGCTGTGGCACCTCCCACTGAGGATCAGCAAGCAAGAGGATGGCTGCTGGTAGCGGTCTAACCTGGTTGCCCTAGCTGCCCTAGGAAAGGAGTATGATGATGTGAGCCACAAGAGACTGCCCATTGCTCAGCCTTCTGCAGCCTGCTGGCTACTTTCAGGGGCTTCCCCGGGTACCCTTGAGCCTTGCTTTCTTAGTGATACGGGAGGAGTCAGGTAAACTCCAGAACTGGACAGGGGCTGCCAGATGGAACGCACTTTCCCGGTGCTATCCCCCAAATGGCCCATTCAGCAGTCTTCGTGTGTGTTGGGGAGTGGGGGTGGGGGGTGGGGCACAGGGAGCTGAAATCTGGAGCTGGCTGTACTTCCTGGGCAGGTTCTGTTAACAGTATCCTTGGGTCAGCATGAGAGTCCAGAGCTACAGACTGGGTCGGTAGAGGCAGTTCTGCCAGTGGGGAAAAGGACAGCTGTCCACTGCTGCTAAGTGAATGACAACCCAGCTCTTGACCAACACTCTGCACTTCAGCATGCCACCAAGCTGTACCTTGTATCCACTCACAGCCAGTATAGCCTCTGTCCCTCGTCTTCCAGCCCGCAGTGTGAATCAAAAACGTGTCCTTACTTCTTCATCCCCTTGATCTGACTGGAGGGGACGGAGTCTCATACACGCAGAGAAGGGGCAGGAGAGTCAGCTTCACCCTCCTCTGTCTTTAGCAGGCCTCCCTTCCATCCTGAAAGTTCGTTCTCTGCTACAAGGGCAATTGGTAAGAATGTCTTATCCAGAAGAGCCTTTTAATAGCAGAGCTTTGAGCAGCCACATTTTGATGGCTGTTTCCATCTCCTCGTAATGGAATAATTGACAGTAAGCTAACGTTTTTCAGACACACCCCATTACACCAGAAATGCAGTTGGAGAAATTAAAACATTTCTCTAAAATACAATATAACATCATGATAATTTATAGCTGGGAACTGCAATCCTGGGGGGAAAAGAATATTCCATTTTTCTTAGCATGGAAAATGATAATTAAATAGTTCCTGTGATTTCCAGCCTCTCGTTCAACATATCTAGGATGAAGGATAGTTAGCATCCTTGTGTGCAAGATGTTTCAGTAAGGACTTTTATTACCCTAAGCGTCTTTTTGTTACAGAGCAGATACATTTGGGAAGCTGCTTGTCCATCTTTTAGGGCTCGGGGATGTAGCCTATGGTGTGTATGTTTCTCTGTAACACACATGGTGCTCACTTCCTGGCACTAATCTGAGGAAACTGGATTATTTCCTGGCCTGGTTTCTGTTGGGGGGTTCAACAGCTCTTGCCCATTGGATGTCCTTTGCTAGGCGCTTGAGATTCATATTAAGGAGGTGGGCTCCACCCTCTGGCTAGAGAAAGACCTGCAGTCCACCAATTAGGCTGGTTGCTATGGTGACTCAGCCTTGTCATTTTTCAGGGATTGGGGAAGAATTGCCAGGAAGAGAGAGAGAGAGAGA